AAAAAAAAAAGAAATGAAGCCCCAAATACCTTGTAAACTAAGCCTCTATATCATGGATGTGCAGCAGGATTCTCTTTGATATTTGTTCTATCCAGACTTCTAAACTCAATCAGAAGGAAATTGTTAGTGCAGCAGCTGAGGAAAAATAATATTATGATGAGTTATATTATTGATATCAAAGCACCAGCAACAGTAATCAGATGTCAATTTTATATAGAATATTTTCATTTTTACATATCAGATGGTATGTTTTTTTTATTTTAACTAAATATGCCCATTCTGCAGATAGAAGCTGCATTTGAACAAAGAATCAGTCTCTCAGCCACTGGATACTTCAGGTAAACATTACAATATTTGTATTCCCATACCATCCAGCCACAAAAAAAAAAAAAAAAAAAAAGATACAATAACATCTTGATTTAGCTGAGAAAACATGAGATAGTCTAATCACTCTGAGTCTAAGTTCCCTCATTTGTAAAATAAGTTTTTATTATGTGATCAGTGAGGTTCCATCTAGGCCTCAAAATTCTATGATTTCACATAGGCCTTTGAGTTATGTTCAGAGAAATATTAAATAATAAAAAATACCCCTATTGGGGTAAAACAACACTTTGATGTACCACATCTAATTATTATTTACTATTCTTTATTGTGAGCATTAAAAACATATCGTTATTAAATAACTTGCATCTCAATTTTACAAATCTCTTTCCCTTTACCATAAAACCTATTTTGAAGTTTCTTGCTGGACAGGAGGAGATGGGCAAGATGATAATCTCCAATCATTTATGCAGAGTCTGTCAGTGGGAAGCCTTCAGGAAAAGCATGTTGATTCAATGAAGCACAGAAAAGGGAGTCAATGGTCAAATTCAGGAAGCATGTGACAGTTTTACAATCCAATAAAACAAATCGCCAAACTACATGCACACACACACACGGAACAGTAAAGCAAATCCTCATGAAGAAAGAAGTAAATAAGGAGGTAACAGCCCAGCCCAGTGTCCTGTACATAATGAGTTCTAAATTCCTGTTTTCAGTGTCCCAAGAAAAGAGAGCAAACCAGCCCTCTATCTGAACACATCTTCCATTATAAATTAATGCATTGAATTACCAACCTTTTAAAAACCAGTCCTGAATTACCATCAGTTCCCTGTGAGTTTGGTTAGCACAATCTGCGGGGTCCCTCTAGGAACACTGATAAGAATCAATCAAGGTTCTCAATGAGCAGGCAGGACTAAAGCTCAAACCCAAGACCATAGAGATATAGACACACTGTGAGGACATATCAGTCTGTTGGTTTCTCTCTCTTTTTGGCATCCTAACTGCAGGACAAGGAGTATCTTCTTTTAAATAGAGGCAAATGATAGTGTTGCTGTAACTAGCTAGTTTGAAAACACAAGGTAGCAGTTTAAATGTGTTGAAATGAACTTCGATCAAATGAAATGCTATCATACAACTTGGTAATTTTTTAAATGAATCAACATTGTTTTCACCTTCCCCCCTCAAGACAAAGGGTTTGATTTCTTTCTTCAGAGGCTACAAGGCCTTCATGGACTGGGAGAAGGGGGAGGGAGACCCGTTTCCCTACTACGTCTACGGAGCTGCCTGTTCTGAAGTTGAAATCGACTGCCTGACAGGCACTCACAAAGTAAGTCAAGTCTAACTTTCCTCTTGGCAAGTTAAAACAACAACAAAATTGTGTTGTACAGTAAGTAGCCCAATTCCATTAAGTTATACTTGTACAACAGGAACAAGATTCTTTCAATTCCATGGGAATGTCCAGAGATCGGGCCTTATTCTGAATTTCCATTTAAAAAGACAATGTAGTGATCAAGAAGGAACTGCTCACAACAGCCTAAAATGTATTAAACTTTTTATTCCATTTCAGACCCCCAAAAAATCATTTTCCAAAGTTTTTCCCAGAAAACGATTCTATTCATAACAGAACAAATGATCTAATCAGAAGGAATAGGTAATTTAGTAAATAGTTTTGAGTAGACATTTTGAAAGCATGTAGCAATGTACTAATGTTTCTGCAAAGTCAATTATCCAAGGATACTACTGATATCTAAAAAAATAGATTTTGGTGAGGGAGGTGAAAATAATTTTTGTTTGCTATTTAATTGAGCACCCAAGAAACCAACTATTGGAGACAGGGAGTCATATTTAACCCAAAGTTAACAACTTACCATAAAGTATAAACCTATGAATATATCCCAGGTACCATTTTGGTAGCAGAGAGACTACAAAGATATTAAACAGAATATAGTCTAACCCCAAATGCCATATATTGTTAGTGAGATAAAAGGTTATCAGTTTCCCTGGGTCCAGGTTTCAGGCCCCACCTCTAGGTTGCAAGCCACTCCCTGAGGTCTCAAGCCTCTCCTCTAGGCCCTCCCCTAGAGGAGAGTTACTGTTGCTGGTTGGACCTATTTTTGGCACCAAGGTGGGAAAATTGAGACCTCAGGGGGTTTACTTTTGCAAATCCAGTGGCTAGGCATGCTCAGTAGAAAGGCTTATGTAACCCTAATAGCCAGGCATGCTCAGTGGAGTGGAGTTTATACTTTGAATGCATGAATATGTATTAAATAGTGAAACTATGAAAGGGGAATCAGCAGGGTTGTTTCTCACTTTCCTGGGGCCAACCCGCACTTCACTGGCTGAGGTGTGTATGCTTTCTTTTGTATCAAACTTACGTTCAGCAAGTGGCTGCTCACTCTCTTGAGCCAGCCTACATTCTGTACTAAACTTTAAGTGTGTATTTCTTACTTTTGCATTAAACCTGGTGCAGGCCCTGCTTGGTCTCTGGAGCTAGGTTGCACTCTCTCTGTGAAATCTGTTATCTCTTATTCATTACATTAAACCTGTTCTCACTTTCTACTGTGACTCTGCC